CGGCCGCCGGCAGCTCACCCCGCCGCGCGGGCGGCTCGCACGCGCCTGGCGAGAAGATTTGAATTTCACACCTCTGCCGTCCCTGCAGGTCACCTGAACACGCAGATGGATGGCTACAGTACTGATACCTGTGAGCTGAAAGGTTAGTCTTAGAGCTGGAAAACCCAGAAATTCACCTTAAAAAAAGGAAGCTTTCACTTCATGAAGGCTGGAGGTGCATAAGAATGAGTGAGTGTATAAATACACATATATAATATTTGTAAATTTGCATACATATATGCTTGTGCATATAAATACACACACACACATATATATATAAAGCCCCCCTTCCACACATGTTAATTCCGTAAAAGTGAGCAGAAAACTTTTTCCAGTGCTTGTTCCTTTAATTTTTCCAAAAAATTTTTTTAAAGCTGGGGACGATCAGTGGGTAAAAACCGATTCACAAAACCAAACTAATACAACATCAAAAATAGGCCTATAGACCACAAGTATGCACAAGTGTTAGGCAGAAGGAAAACACTAGCTTTGCATTTGTGTAATGTTTATGCACCAAATAGTATTTTCTGCTTCATTTCAGTGGTATTTAAATCACTTCCACTAAGGTTGTATGCTATATTTGAGTAATACAATCAAACAACACTAGCTAAGCCTTGTCACTAAAAACAGCATATAAAAGTGGAAAAAACATATCAGTGACTATTCATCTCCTGCAACATTAACTTTTAAAATCAATGTGTAAGTGTAAACAATTAAAGTCAGATAAACACACCCAATTTAAGTTCTAACATACTGTATTACTAAAAAGAATAAATGAAAATTATGTCATCCACACCTTTTCAGCATGCTCAGCACCCCCCAAAAAGCAGAGCAATAAATTACAAACAGAAGGGTTTTCAAAGGTGAATTTATTGTTTTTTTTGAAAGGAGTTAAACTGACAGCAAGCACAGACAAAAATAAAAGCTTTCCACACATGGATGTGGCAGGTAATTTAACTTCTTTCTTGGCAGTCACATTTCTGGCAAGCAGTTATCCCATTCTAACTCATTCAGTGCCTTGTTTCACTGAGATTTCCAACAAAGACACCAACGCATTTGTAGCCTGTGAACATGGGATTCAGAAAGAATTAGACTATCCCCACCTCGCCCGCCATATTTGACATAATTTGGAGTCGGAAAAAAAAAAAGATCCAAAAATATTCCTTATAGACCTACCAACTGTCAAGTTTTGGATTCCAGGTCACGTCAGTTATGTAACTACTACGTGATTGCGGTAATTCAGCGATGGCGGCAGCAGCAGCCAGTACACTTCCCAGTGTCCTGTTCCTCGACTTAATCGCATCCCCAATTCATTTACACAGTAAAATCAAAGTAATTTAGTAGAGGTGTAAGATTTTTGTAGATAGCCTTTATCAACTAGTGCAGATTCACTGGATTGTCAAAGGAATAGACAGTTGCACCTGTCCTTTCATGCTATTCCTTAAGCACCAAAAAACGTGCTTGGTCTGAATATGCCCTAACTGGAAATTCGTGCAAATGAGTCCTTACTGCAGTAGAGGAGGAAAGAAATACTATTTCACCAGAGCAGTTAATAAATAAACTTATGCTAACTAACAGCAACATCAGAATTCTTCTTCTGCATTTGGAGTACGTGAACTCTTAAGTTTCTTCAGTTTTTCAATGGCAGAAGATATTGAAGTCTCTCCATGAACTTTGTTGTCTCTTGTTCGCACGTTGACAGTGTTATCTGCTTTCTCCTTTTCTCCAACCACTGCAAGACATATCACAAACAATTTTAAGCTGTTCTCCTGCATTACAAAATGAGAGTCTAGGCTAATTCTACAACCAACATCCACACTTTCACAATGTTCAGAAATATAAGATGCTGTAATTACCTAAGATAAAGTTATACTGGGCCAGCTGCGCGTTTCTTATTTTCTTGTTTAATGTGCAACTCTGGTCTAGATCCACATCTGACATAAATCCTGCTTCAAAAAAATCCCTGCAAACCTAAAAAAAAAAAAATTACTGTATACATTCTACAACATGAAATAGTACCTCCTGCAATCCCTTCCAATAATTAATTTACATATGCACATAATTTTGCTCTTATGAATAATTACATGGAGGACAGTAAAGTTATTTGAGGAAAACTGCACACACACTTAAGGGCTTGGCAGGACTCTAGTTAAGAAGAAAATGCAAAGTAACATCCATATCAAATGCTTACTGATTTCCTCAGACAGCTACACTGCTGAATGTCAGAAAAGTTTCCTCCATCAGAGGAGAGAGAAAGAGGAGAAGGAACAAAGGCATTTATGCTTGCATTAGAGAAAAAGGGGGAGGGCAGGAAAAGCCCCCATACTTGAATGTAGTCAGGAGCATACGTGCTGGGGAGGGGAGGAAACTGGTTCCACTCTTGCCTTAAGCAAATAATTTTATAATGAAATATGAGTTACTATATAAGGTTTGTAATCCAGAATATTTTTTAACGATTACTGAGGTATGTACATGATAGCAGAGCCCAAAAATATTTGCTACATATCCCTTTCTCAAGCTTACACAAATTTTAGAAGGTATGAAAGATTTCACTTATGAAAAAAAAAAAAGTCTGCAAAGTCATTAAAGCAAGCATTTGTTCTTCTAGGACCATCATTTAAGAAGCTATTAAAACTGCTTGCTGCTATAAAAAGGGAGGCTCTATTCTCACCTGCTGGGCATACTCTTCAGAAGTAGGTCCCACAGGTACAACCATGACCTGTCGTGGAGACAGCCAGAATGGCCTGGCGAGCATATTAACAAAAATATGAAAGTAATGTGAATTTTACACCTGTATATCAGCAGTCATATTTCCCAAGAATAAGTTTTTTCACTTTATAAAAACATTTATGCAAGCTAAAGCTGATGGATAGGCCATTACATTCCAGTTCATATAAAATGGCAAATAAATTGATCCAAGTTAAAAGTCATATGCACAACTCTGAGTTTCTGTTCACTTCCTAGCTGGTTTCACAATTTTTAACAGAATTTTAATTTTATACATATTATTCTCTTTTATTTATTATATACCTTTATAGTGATGGGTGGACAGTTTGAAAGTGAGAATTAACCCTTTGTTAATACTTCCATCAACGGAGAAATATCTTCAGAGCTAATTCAAGATGAAATAAAACATCTTCTAAATTAAAAAAACATTTCATTTATTAAGACTAACTCATGTCTGCATACGTAACTAATGTACATGTTTAAACTCTTCCCAGTGTAAAAGCATGAGTTTAGGATTAAAAAAAGGACCGAGTAAAATGGAGTATTAGCATACTTAAGTTACAATTCTTATTTGTTACATTGTATGATTTTTCCTTACATTTTCTTGACATTGACTTTCCAATCATGAACTAAAAATATAAGGATATTATACAGCTCAGACCAAGAAAAAAATTAGATTTTTTTTCTTGTTGCCTTACCTACTAATTCTGAGAAAATTCTAGGAAAATTATTTTGCATCATGATATACAGGAAGCATCTATATTTTCTATCTACATTGCTAAAAGTTTTCTAAAATTGCATTTGTGCCACTTACCATTTTCCTCCATAATTTTCTGCTAAAATAGCTATCATTCTCTCCACGGACCCCAAGATAGCTCTGTGAATAATCACTGGCCTTTTCTTATCATCACCATCCTTACTGGAACAGATAGGTAAAGATTAAAAAATAAAACACCCTTCTCTTAGCCCCCGCACAAATCATCCTACCAACAATTTTGACTCTACTTTTCATGGAAAAACAAAATGGAATTACTTTTACTTCTGTAAAATCTACCACTTTTACTAAAAAACTTGCTTTCTCTATGTCACATGGGCTTTTAAAGAAATGTTTAACAATCACAATGACTAAAAATAATCATGCCTGTAGTTAGTGGCATAGGCACAAATTCCTAGGTTTTAAAAGATGCTCAACTCTACAGCTTGAGTCCAAAGCTCTGAATCAGGTCCATTTCTCTGCATTTTAATATTCTGTTCTTCTTCTCTGTTTTCCTCTATGACTTGCATTTATTTTGTTGCATAGGCTCTCACCTGCTCTCATTGTTCATTTCCTTCCTTAAGTTACAATCCTGTGATTAAAAAAAAAAAACAAAAAAAAAAAGGGCCAGCTGCTGTTTGCAACAGTTCTATGATCGATGAAAGGGCTGTGAAATCTACTGAAAAATATGCAGCAGGACACAAAATAATGACGATTCTGATTCCATCTTCTCCATCATGTTCTTTAGAATGTACAAAAATAAACACACACACAAAAAAAAAAGCGTATGCAAGGCAACATGGTACTAAGATTAATTTATTCAGTGGATACAACATCCTTTTTCCTAGCTGGAAGCCAAAGTGAGATTTGCTTTATAAAGTGTTAACGTGTCTTTGTACAACAAGGTCAAGTAACTCTATCTGATAAGAACTATGCACATACTAACTCTTCAAGATGTGTTTGAATTTGTACACCACATCTTCACAGGGGAGATGTTGACTAGGTTGAAAGTGAAAACTAGCGCGACTAGCTCGAGACTGCTCTTTAAAGGCTATACATGATCTTGAGAACTGGCAGATAAGACCTGCAGATCATTTTTCCCTGTAATCAGTGGCATTTAAAATTAAACTGAGCTATCATTACATTGAGGAATTTTTTCAAGTTTATGACTCAGTCCAAGTACTAACCTCCACTCAGAGATGTTTCCCCTCTTAAATCATTCACCTTACTTCGATACAGACTAGCAGTTTGTTAGATGAGCAGCAGAGCGTTAATACATCTCAGTTTAATGAGTATTACAAATAATGAAAGTAAAGAATCACTTTTGAGGGCATTTAAAAGAGGAAGATAAGTAGTTTAATCACTCACCCAACATAAGTAAGATTAAATCGAATGGGTAGTTGGAAATCAAGCTGGACGGTAGCACACTGATGGTATCTGCCAATAGCATCTTTGATTTTAATATCAATCTGACAAGCAAAATACCACAGTTACTAGGTGTAGTTTGTCTGCATTTTCTCTGTATTCTTGTCTCAAAGTTGTATCAAAATACCCATTCACTAACCTTGGGACCATAAAATGCTCCATCTCCTGGATTCAACCTCCATGGTTCTCCAAAGTTATCCAAGCTGCTTTGAAGTTGCTAATTATAAACATAAATAAATAAATAAATAACTTTAAAAACTTCACTGGACTCTCAGGGCCTTCCATTACTGTAAAAGTGAAAGGATTTGCCTACACTAGACTATGTAGCCTCTGAACTACAATGGGTACTCCCTTTGTACTTTGTCATGCTCCCATTGGCAGCAGGAGTCCTATTGTTCAAACATTTAGTCCCTTATGACACTTAATCCTAAAATCAGAGTAGTTTCTTGTAAAACCTTTGCGATTCATCTGAATCTGAAAAAACAGATTAATAAAAATAAAATCAGTTCAAGATAAGGGGCTAAGTAAGAGTCATAAAGTTGTCATTCTATACAGAAACTCCATGTTTTACACAGCTTTTCAGCAAGCATTTTCATTAGGAACAGTATTTAGCATCTGATTTAAACAATCTCACTAACTTCAGTATTCAACATGAAAAAACTTAGTTGAATATCCACTCCTGCAAATACAAATATTAAGGTTGTTCATGAATTACCTGTTCCGCATGATCCCAGATCTCTAACTCTCCTAGGTAATTTTCAGGTCTTGTAGAAAGATGCAGTTGAAAGGTAAAACCAAAGACAGCATAAACAGACTTCAAGAAATCAAGACAGCCCTTAATTTCTTCTTCAATCTTAAATGTAAACAGAATACATTAGTTTAAAAATAAAAGATACATTTTGATTCAAATAAAAAAAAAAGGAATTGAATTTGCTGCATTCTTCATAACCAAGTCTTAACTGTTTCTGTGCACACAGACACATATAGATACATTCTCTTAAGAGTCCATGAAATTAAAAATAATTACGTATGAAAATAACATTCTACAAACCCAAATCTAGGTCATGGGTGAGGAGTGAACTGAGGTGCTGTGGCTTCAAAGCCTGGAAAGAAGAGTAATATTCCTACTAAGCCTGGGCTTCTGGAGCCAGATGGCATGAGTCAGACTTTACAGAGTAAATCAATTTATTCTCATAGTTCCACTGAAACCTATGGCATTATTGCCTGAATTAAGCATTGATTCAGCATTAGTATGGAAAGCAAAGCGTGATCGACAGTTGGGTTTTTTTTTCTTTTTGAATGGGGGGGGGAAGAAAGGGGGATTTTACCTTTTGGGATTTAGTTGAACCCACATATCTTCCCACAGGGAAAAAACCTATAGAGGAAGTCTTATTCAGTAATTCACAGTTAGTAACATCTCTCAGATGTTATCTCTTTCTTCTTTTGCTATAAGTATTTCTTAACCTCAAAGAGAAAAATAATCAATGCAAATTACAGCACTGGCATTTGATAAATTTCTAACTGGGAAGCTAAGATCAAGAGACTATTGACTCGAGCAATACTACAGAAGGCTAAGACATATGGAATATCAGATGAGTAAGAAGGAAGCAACCTAACAAAAAACAAAAAACCCACAAACGCAGCATTATGGTACAAAACAACACACTAGAAGCCTAAAAAACTAAAAAAAGTGGGAAAAAAAAAGTGGAACTGAAAAAAAAAGGAAATATTTTAGGTTTGTTTGCTTGGGGGGGGGGGTTGTTGTTTCATTGCTGTTTTCACCTGTTCCATTGTGCAAAAGATGTGAGCATCATCTTGTTGGAAGCGCCTAACACGAGTCAAGCCACTTAAAGTCCCAGAGAGTTCATTTCGGTGAAGAACCCCAAAATCTGCGAGTCTAAGAGGCATTTCTCTCCAGGATCGTGGACGATGAGCAAACATCAAGCTAGAAGGAACGTGAAGGGATTTTGTTTTTATCCTTCATATACAAGGCTTAAGACAACAGAGAAACTAAAACAAGATCAATATAGGCAGTGATCACATAGTATTTCTAAACCTTTATTCATTCAAGTTGTCTGCATTGAAAAAGGCAGGCAAATGGAGAAACCGAGGCACTCGGCTCACCAAAGACCACCTAGAGAGGCCACTGTGAGAGTAACAACCAGAACCTGTTCATTTGTACCTCCTTTTGATACACCACATCTTACTCTGTCCACCTTACGTCATATATTTACTAGCTGTGCCAACTAGTAGTAGCACACAGAAACCTAGCTCATTTAGTAGGAGGATCTTCCAGTAAGTCTACACAAGAACGGCCTCTGGTCTGCTTTGGGACACTAGGAGGGTAGCTCTCTGGACAAAGTTGTTGCTTACAAAAAGTAGTGTACTGTAGAGCTAGCACACACAAGATAACATGCACTGATATTCCATTAATTTCCCTCAGCCCCACACAACACAGATATAGTAAAATAAGAACATTTTTCAGTTGAGAGTACAAACCAATGCCCTGGACAGTTCATCGGCTTAAGGGCAAAAGTTTCCTTCTCAATCTCAAAAGAGAACATATTTTCACTGTAGTGCTGCCAGTGCCCTGAAGCTTCCCAGAGTTTACTGTTGAAGATGTTTGGGGACACAACTTCAGTAAAGTTACGCCTGTGATATTCCCCCTATAAAACAAATTCAACATTTTAAAAGGTGGTACAAGCAGAAAATAACTTTCGACAAGCAAAAGCCTGCTTCTGTAAGCTTCTGTAACTGTATTCTCATGATGGCCATTTACTGGGAGACTAAAGGACCACTGCGCATATAGGTTTTCCAGAACTGGAAAAAGCACGTTTCAATTAAGAATGCTTTCCCCTGCCCTAGTTTGAAAAAAGTTAGATCTGCATAATCTTAGTGAAACTCTGATATGTGTTTACATACAGAGATGTTTCTCTTTCTGAGGGCAGCTCAGTGCTGTGAATGACATATCACTTAAGTCAAGATTACAAGCAACATCAAGCATGTTAGGAATTACATCAGTCTCTACTCACTCGTATGAAATCCATGAGTGTATTATAAAGAAAGGCACCTCTGGGGAGGAAAAAGCAGCTTCCAGGACTCAAATCATGAAAGAAGAAAAGTTCTTGCTCCTACATCAATTAAAAAACAGAATTAGTGTTAAGACCACTTCAAGTGTACCCTCAGTAACTGAACTGCAGAAAATGGCTACTTTTAATTCACGTGTTGACACCCTTTGTTCACTAGAATGAGAGATATAGCAACAAGATGACTTCTAGAAGTCTACCAGTTCTCAGCAACAGAAGTTAATTCATGTCTAGTTCTTACTCTTAGAAGCTTTATAGTAACATCTTGACCCTGTGACTGTTTAAATACATGTTTCCTCAAAAACCTGAAGCCTGAACCTGAAGCCTTACCATTAGTAGCCAAAACAATTAAAACACACACCCATCAGATTTGAGGGCTGGCGGCTGAAGATTATGATAGTCATTCTTTATCTGAGCCTGCCTCAAAAACATAGCTTCAGAAGTGTGGCTCTGATATGCTGTCTTTGGAGAATCTTAGCCTCTTATATATCATAGATACTAGATACATAGATACTAGATAATTTGATACTAGATAATTGATTGATTCTAGATAATATGTTTTGATACAAGATACATACATACTAGATAATTTGTTTTTTGAAAAGACAAAGAAGTAATCATCAAGCAAAGAGTGAACAAATGTGCAAGTGTTAATGGATTGATAGGAACAAGCATGAACACTTCAGCAAAGACCATTTTGCTGCTCCCTGCCTTTGTCCTTGTTCTCTGTACATTCTTCATTGGCACTCCTTCTACCGAGTTACCCAAGTTGTTCATTTGTGCTTAGTCCATTGCGTTCCCTTTCTCATATCCATCCATAACTACTGAGAGGTTCGTGCACGCATCCTCTTGGCCACTGATGCTGACCTTCACTTGCACTTAGTTTTTCAAATAAATGGCTTCCTGCTTTCATTTATACCGCCTGTTGTGCCTTTGAGCATCCCTAAAGCTACTTACTATCTTCCTTCAAATCCCCTCCTTAAAACACCACTTGCTCTACAAATTTACAGTAAAGGTGACAACAGTTAGGCAACTGATTTGTTGAATCAACTGCCTACCAACAAGATCAATATTTGGTCAATATCTTTGACTGTGTCAATCTAACATCTTCCGACTTACACTTAATTTAATACCAATATTGTTTATTCAGTCTGGCAGCGGGACACATGAACAATTCTTACAACACCAGATGAAGTACTATGATGAGTATACACTTAAGTTAGCTATTAACTTATTTACATCTGTAACGAAGATTGACCAAAACAAATTTCAGAAAATTGCATAAATAATGTATCTCCTCTATGAACAATTTAGTCTTGTAGGTAGGCGATCCGAAGAGACCACCACACATTCAAGCGTTCAAAATACAGTTCCCTGAACCCAGGGGAACACTCCATTATGCTACCAGTAGTGTCACACTAGTATGCAACTGACAGGTTGAGTTTGTAGAATTAACATTTTAAAGTACAACTGACACTTCCAGAAATACATAGAACTGACTCCCATTCAAATTGTGCAAATATAGGAAAACAAAGGAAGAGAATGAATTACTTTACAGGAGCATAGAAGAGAAGTAGGCCATAAAATAATGTACCTTTCCAATTTTCCTATGGTCCCGGTTTCTGGCTTCTTCCTGGAATTTTTCCCATTCCTTCATCATTTTGTTATCAGGGAAGGATATTCCATATATTCTCTGCAGAGTCTCCATGTCAGCTTTTCCTTCCCAATACGTAGAGGAATTCTGATGTGAAAAACCCATATTTTAAGACAGCATTATATAATCTCAGGGAGAGGAGGAATAAGCAGTAATCCATTCAAATGTTAGGATTTTTCCTTGGGAAAAGATTTATATCTCGTCATCCAGCATTTGCTTATAACACACAGATAACCTGCACCAACTTTTAGTCAGGATACTAACAGAGAAGGCATAAACACACGTGACTGGGTACCTTATTTCAAACTCGCATCATGCCATGTTTCATTATCCCACATTCTGTCTTCCAAAAGAGAGGCACTTGCGTAAGTTCAAAACATAATGCAATAGGGAAACAGTGAAGACTGAAAATGTAAAAAGAACTCTTTCACAGTTAAATCCTGCCTGTTTTGACAATCAAACATTTAAATTCTGTATCTCAGAGTTCCAGAGATTTCAGGGAGAAAGCCAACAAAAGCAAGCGTGCTGAATGCTCCAATGAGGTCAGACTAGTAAAGTTAACAAAATTAGCATCTGCAAGTAACTAACGCTACGTAGTTATCACAGGCATCTGCAAACACTAGCTCTGGCTTTCCTGTGAGCAACGTCATTTTTAAAGAGCAGCACTTACATATCTGCCAGTGCTCACTTTACAGTTTAAAAGCAAAATTAACTTCTGCACTTACCTTAAATATTTTAAGGGTCTTAATTTTTCCAGTGTTTCTCACATGCGGGCCCCTGCAGAGATCAATCAGTGGACCACATCTATACATCAAAACAAAAGGTTATTTAGAAACACTCAAACGTTTTTAAGTAGTCACTAACAGCATACAGGGTTTTGCTTGGTATGTTTAAATTAATAGGTATTTATGTTCAAATTAAGTAAGTATACATACAACACTCAGCAAATTCAGTGCATTTTAAATCTAATTGTGCCTTCTGCTAGAAGTGAACATTCACCCTGTAAACACTCAGCACGCTTGATCCTCTACAAGAGCATCGTAACACACTCAGCAATTCACATAGGTCCATATACAAACTCTGTCAAAGTTGGTCAGGAAATTTCGAACTAAGCACATCCAACAGAAAAAAATATTTTTCTCATTCTCCAACTACTTTTACTCCTACCAACTGCATCAACAGGATCCTTGCCCCACACTGAGCTCACTTTACCCATTACCCAGACAAACGATTCCATTGGTGGTAACTTGTTTTAGTATTTTTCTTGAAAGCAGAGGGAATTAGTGAAAAGTGGATTTGCCGTTTGTCCACCAATGGAGACAGGATTTGTCCTAGCAGAGGAAAAAAAAAAATCCCATTCTACAAAATAATAAAAATTAAAAACCTAGGCCCCAATCACACAAGTACTCTAAAACTGGAATAAAGAAAATAATTCCTTCTCCTCCCAATTTAAATGAACATATCCAGCTGTAGAAATATTTTGTAATACCTTTTTATTTATTTGTTTACCTGTATATTGTAGTAGTTGGTGTGTCAACCTTCTCATTCAGGATGCGACACTTAAACTTGTTATACTACATGGGTAAATGTGAAAAGTTAGGGACATCATTAAAACAACTAATAAAATAATATTCTAAAATTATATACTAAAAAGGCAAATGCATCAGAGTCACATGACCATATGTACATATGTGCACAAGTTCAACACTCCTTCCAGAAGAGTTATAAAACATGAGTGGAAAGAGAGAGAGAAAAATATCTTAATTTCCCTCAGAGCGTGTTAAGCATGGTCATTACCACTTGAATACCTCCAAGCACTTTTGAAAGCCAATTAATACACAGTATAGCAAGACTGGTAATACTCACTGTATAAATGGAGTGCTAGAGAATACAGCCTCTTTGGCTTGTTTCTGCAAATGAGCCAAAATGAATGTATGCTTTCTGTGTACCAATCTCTTTGCACCCTCACTGAGCTTGAGGTGTTTTCGAGGAATAAGAAGTTGTTTTGTTATTGCTTTAAAACATCCTGAATACTTGAAAGTGATACAGTGAAGGCCAAAAAGATGATATAGTTTGTCTTTGTTGTACTAGATAGGTCCCATTCTCATGAGTCAGTCACATGCACTGTTTAAAAGAAATTAAGGTTTAAAACGTCATGATACCAGAATCATAGCTACTCCAAAGATTTACCTTAAACATGTCCAACAGGATCTCCTTTTTGACTTCTAGCCTTTCAAAAGGCTGCTTCTCTTTTATGATATTTTTACAGCGGTTCTCTAGTACTGGGAATTCAGAACTAGAAACGCCTCTAAATAAATAAAGACCAAAGAAATAGAAGTTAATTATTTTGATAATCCCATTTCCAAGTGGTAACTTTCTAGGGGTCTAATTTGAAAAACAAAGGATGTGTTGTGATTTGTAACATTTTCTTAGTTTCTTACAATCGACTGTACTTCCAGACACTAAACTCAGAAATACACACTGTATCACCCTGAACAAGCCCACTGAAATCATTAACAGAACAGTCTTTGACATGTCTAAGAGGCTGGAAGATCAGTAGCTCAAAGCACAAACACTTTAAGAAAAAAGGAAAAAAAGGCTCAAGTCAGCAGCAAGGGATCGTTTAATCAGCTGATGCAGATTCTGTGTTTTCCCTGACTACACAGAGATAAATGAGGAAAAACAGAATTGTAAAAGCTGTGCACAAGGATTAGGCAAGTAGTAAACATCTCTAGGAGCTGCATGCATACGTGCGCCTCTGCAAACGACTCAGTCACTTTGAAAACAAACTTCCATGCCTCTTCCAGGAAATCCTGTCTCCTCTATCTCTCAGGTACTTCAGCTAATTCTACCCAACACAGTTTTTCACAGAACATTCAACAGCTGCAAGTCTTAAGGAGCAGGAGCCTCAACGCTGCTCTTCAATTAAAATAATACAGGTATATATTTTTTATATATTTATGAAGAAGAGAGACTCACTGGTTATTCCTAAACCATATCTGATATGCAGCATTTTACTTTTAACGTGCAGAGACATGATCAAGCAAAAATAATTCAAGTCTTGATCTTAAATATTGAGTATTAAAGTCCTTCGATACTGTGAAATTTTACCTATCTTCAATGTACATGTCATAATAAAATCCATTCTCAATAGGTGGTCCATAGCACAAGCAGCCTCCAAAATAACTTTCCATAGCCTCTCCAAGAATATGAGCGCTTGAATGCCAATAAACCTGCAAATAAATAAAGTCAGCTGAGCAAATCATGGGTTCTTTGGTGCTGCATAATAAAAACAAAATAGAGCTGTATCAGCAGATGGGAAAAACACTGCAACCATCATTTAAACTCTGTCTGAAGGATACCAATCCTCCGTTGTCATTATGAGCTATGCTAAATGCTAAATGTTCATCTTGTATTTTTTTAATCTGATATTTGCTAGTTCAACAATACATTGGCAATGGTAGCATTAAAGCCCCATTTTATTCTGGTCTGAAAGATGATTATACCTCCGCACAATTTACTCGCTTTTTATAAATAAGTTAGTTACCTTTCGGTTGAAAGTCCATGCAGTAACATCAATATCTACTAGCCAATTAAGTTGCCATTTTTCACATACGGTACATTTATTAACAGGACTGTAAACCACATTGCCTGAAATGTCAGAAGAGGGAATCCACTGACCCAGCAGATCAACAGCAGTCTTACATTCTAAGCCCATATTAATTTAGGTCATTTAACAGCCACTGCTACAAGATAGCCACCGTTACCTTTAAGGGGATCTTGAAATGCCTTGAACAAACTTAATTGTGTGAAGAAGTCTTTGACAAAATGAAGTCTAACTGTAGTGCATAAAGATAAACATAGGCTTGAGTCTGAATCCCATAAAAAACTTAAAAAACTTAGGCACGTCACTTTACGTATTTTCATCATTTAATTAACTAACATACGCCTACTAAAGGTTTTAGTAAATACCGCAGGTACAGGGAAATATACATTTTATTTATGGCTCAAACCTGATACTGGACAACTTCTAGACTAGCCTAAGACAACCACACTTGCTTTCAGCGTCGGCTCTTCAAACACATGGACCGAGTCAATGGGACGCACGCATCTTTAAAACATCAAACTATTTCAAATTAGCATATAAATCAATACATGAAGTATAAGATCTAAATCTCAATTGAGAAATAACCTGTTTATGTAAAAGAGGAGGAAGGAAAAGAACCGTAAGACCTTATTCACCAATAAATTAGAGGTACTTAATATTCTTCTATATATCAGGACAAATGTTATTTGAATAGTTTCAAAACTATTGTAGTTGTTTCAAAACTATTGTAGTTGAATAGTTCAAAATTGTTTTAATTCAAGATCTAAAAAGCATAACACTGCAATCAATTCAACGTCATTAGTTCTTTTAATCACACAGAAACCAGACAGTGTCTACTTACAGCTTGCGCTTCTTCGTTATCGAACATAAGCACCTCCAGAGTACAATCTCCCTCCAGTGGGCGATCCAGATCCCACAATTCACCGTTCACTTTGGCTACGACTGCATTTGAAGCCAACCCTTGACTGAAGAACACAAATGAACGCATGGGACCAAAACATTTGGGTTCAGGTTTGCAAAGATATTTAGATATCTAAACACCTTGGGATACCCCTCCACATCTTGTAGTACCTGAAGACCTTTACATGTTTCTGCTTTTAAGGCACAGACAGTAAACCGTTTAAGGACTTAACTTCATTCTACAGTTTTCACTGTTGGGGATCAGGAAGGAATACCGTTTCTAACAACAGATTCTACAGTTATCTGACAACTCATAAGACTTCAGATATCCAGATTAATTCCTTGCAGACTCATTGTTTTTTTTTTTTTTTTGAATTGGAAGCAACCACTATGATCCCGGAACATGACATCAAGCATCACCCAGAACGATAACTTTACCCTGCTCTTTCTGCATTCAACCCAAGTTTTACTTGGAAAGCAATCCAACATAAGAGAACTGTGTATCTACTGGCTCTGACTCTGCATGCAACTGGGTAAGAGAAATGATAGTAACAGATTTACCACCCCAGAAGTACAACTCCTTCAATCCGCAGGTTACCTAATTCCCACAGCTAATTGATATGGTGTGGTTTTCCAAGATTCCCCTTCAGCCATCTTTCCATCCGTCAGAATAACTTTGATTGGTTTGCTCTGGTTGGCTGCTCTGTAAGCTAGTAAAGCGTCATGTTCTTTTTTCAGGGCTTCATAAAGCTTCAGTCTGTCTTCTATGAAGCTTGGCTCACACTGCAGCTGTAACAATAAACAAATTAATGAAATTATACACAATAATCAAAAAACTATTTGTATGAGAAACCAAATATGGAAGTTTACAGTGTTCATGCATCCCTAGAGGTGCCAGCTGAGATCAGGCTTCGCTGTGCTATAATTTATACTAACATGCAGTAAAGTTTCATAAATAATTATACACAGGATAGTCCTGTTCAATTTGCTGACTACCTCAGAGCCACTTTTCAGTTTTCCAGTGCACCTTCATTCATCTGTGCCTAAATGGCTTGGCGTGTTTGACTGCAAAAAGTACCACATGTTCTTGCCTCAGAACTTGCGTTTGACTGACTTCACGGAGAAGTTTGGACCATGCCGACAAAACCTCGCTTCTGCCAGGCAATTCAAAGTATCGGATGCAAACAACTCAAGAAAGTTGAGAGGAAATCTTTTAGCTTAGCATAAAGAGAATTATGAAAACCTGTTACACTGTGGCTACTGCTGTCAACACCTTCTGTCCGGCATCTCCCACATCTTCCACTGTGTGACTGACCGTTCACGAAACAGGACCCAAGTATCCCACCCCTCCCCTTTCTTTCCAACAGCCCAATTCCTTCGGGGATGG